TCTATCTATCTATCTATCTATCTATCTATCTATCTATCTATCTATCTTATCTATGTATCTATCCTCACAACCATTTGTTTAACTACTGTTAAAAGATTTATTTATTTAGTAAACAAATTTATATTACCTCTCAGCTCACAATGAAGTTACAATAGCCTCAGAAAAAGTGATTTATGACCTATAATCACAGTTATAACCATCATACTACCCCTGTAGTCACATGATTGGTGATTGTAATTTGGGCACTTAGCACTTGGCTCACATTTGCAACCAGTTGCAGAATTTGGCAATCGTATGATTATGATTTGCAACCTTTTATGCTAATTTGTGACAAAAAAAATACCATTAGAGAGGTGCAATTAGTTTGATGATCTTAACAACCATAGTGATTTGCTTAACAGCTGCCATAAAAATTGTCATAAAATCATGTCCAATTATAACTTCAGCAATTCAGGATGGAAATTCCAATCCCAATTGTACTAAATCAAGGACCACCTGTATTTACCTCTTATTTATTATATTCATTTGCGTGCTACCTCCTAGCAAAACTATATTTATATTATAAGTAGATAGTATTTTTTTTAATTCCATTTAGGCCAGGCACTTGAGTTGAATATCTGTTTAAATTTTCCGAGATCAACCTAAAATGTCTTTTTGGCAGGAGAATAAACAGAAGTTCTCTGCATACTTGGAAGAACAGTACAAAGTCAAAATTAATGCATCCTCTATGTTTGATGTGCATGTCAAGAGAATTCATGAATACAAGAGGCAGCTCCTCAATTGCCTACATATAATCACTCTCTATAACCGTGAGTTTTTTGCCAGCATCAATGCTTTTAAACTCTTCTAGATAACATTAACAATAATATTGTTACATCAATATGGAAAAAATATGTCATACAAAAAGATCTGGGAAGCAAGCAGAAAGTAATCTGAAAAGATAATGGGAGTGTGTGTCTGTGTGTGTGCATGCACACGCCTGCGGATATATGTTTGTAGAGCAGCCATTTCCTTTAATCCTGAATATAATGCTCCAGCAAGCTTGAACTTGAGATTCCCAGAAACTAGTCTTTGTTAAGAATGAAGAAGCATATTCAGGAACCTGAGCCGAATTGCATACATATAATTGAAGGCTTGATGAGATCAAAATCTTAACAGTGAAGCTTGTCATAAACAAACAGACAAAAAAGATCATGTAATATTTCAACAAAAGGAAATTGGTATGATTGACATTTAATGCTAGGAATGATAAAATAGAATGGAATATTTTTTATTGGCCAAGTGTGTCTGGGCACACAAGGAATTTGTCTCCGGTTCAAAAGCTCTCAGTATGCATACAAGTAACAAAGTGATAAAATATAAATCACAAGATATTATTATAAGTCATAAGATAAAACCAACAAGTGATAGTCATGAGATACCACTAGGAGTAGGTAAAAGGAAAGGTGAGAAGAATAATAGTAATACAGTCCTACTACATGATTAGATATTAGGCATAAGAAGAATACATGATTACTTATTAGACATAAGACAGTGCTGTGAGAATTACGTGTTTAGCAGAGTGATGACGGGGTGTGTGTCTGTGTCTGTGTCTGCAATGCCCTATAATGGTGTCTTGAGGGGAGAAGTTGAAACAGTTTATGTCCAGGATGTGAGGCCCCTCTTTCTGGCTCATGCAGTGTACAGGTCCTCAATGGAAGGCAAGGTGGTTGAATTTTTTTTTGTCCACTCCTAATTATCCATTGAAATCTGAACCTGTCCCATTTGGTTGCTATACCAAATCAAACAGTTATAGAAGTACAAATGACAGACTTCATAATAGGAGCGTAGTTGCCAAGAGTTCTGCCTTAGTTTTGGAATATTCTTTGCCAGGTATTTTTAACCTAACATTAAAACAAGTCTGTTCCCTCAGACATGATACAAAGCTGAGAAATTACAATGAGAATGAGACATCCTTGCTTATAATCTCACAGCAACTTAGGTTATTATTGATAAAGTATGTACTCCGTTTGCCAAGAGTTGGGAATAACTTTTAGGAAGACTTTTTCCCCAATGTGAATGGTTACCTGAAGGACTTCCAAAGTTGAGGTCCCTACTAGCAGATGCAGAAATGTATTTCCACTTGAAACCCCAAAGGTCTCCTTGAAAGTGTAAGGTTATGATATATGCAGAACCTGTTCAACAAGCAGAGTGATTTACTTTTCTGAACTCAAGTGCTAGACTGGATAACTTAGCTTTTCATTTCCTAAATTTGGATTCTTCCTGTTACACTTTATGATAATAAAATCCAAAAACAATTGCACAGCATTAATTTGATCTTTGTATAAATATTGCTATCCACAGAAATTGTTCATTGATGTTAATACTGTATCCATCCAAAAGGGAGACTATTATTCCTGGCCAATTAATGTTTTTTTAAAAAACTACAAATTCTCCCTTATTGGTCTATGGAAACAAGTATAAATTTGTGCTAAATTTTAAATTTTACATCATTTTATTGCTTTTTTCTCCTCAGTGATTTCTTACCTTGAAATAGGAGTTACAGATATCACAGAAAGCAATTTTGTGGAATTATTATTATTATTATTTTATTAATCATCCATTTTAAAATTCATTTTCCTCCATCTTAATTTTCTTGCTTTTTTTCAGGCATCAGAAAAGACCCTAAAAAATCATATGTGCCAAGAACAGTTATGATTGGAGGAAAGGTAAAGAATTTCAATGTGAAGCTAAGTTTATTTCTAGTATTTAAGACTGCACATATATTTCTTCCTCCCACCCATTACTGCCTGCCTACACACTTCACATTTATGTTAAAATTTGAGTTATTTAAGGATGCAAAAAACTACTCATGCCCAATATTTTTAGTCTCTTTGTTTCCTTGTGTGATTCAAACATCCTATTTAACTGGAAACTCAGCATATTGAAATAAGAACTCAGGGAGGTTGACAATTCCTATTGTGGTATGGATTTATTTCAGGTATCTACAAGTTGCAAACCTGAGCAAAGATTAAGAACAAAAAGGCAGATATATACAGCAGGGAGCCTTTTCTGGGATAGATAAAGGCTTCCTTTGATTTTATATATAGAAGTCTTCATATATATCAATTTGTGACACTCTCTTCAGGAATTAGGTATTTCAGCTGAAAAATTCAAAAAATGCCTTCCTACTTCTTCTTCATCATCATCATTATCATATAATAATAACAGAATAGTAACAGAATAACAGACTTGGAGGGGACCTCCAAGCAGGAGACCCCTATATCAGGGGTGTCAAACTCAAGGCTTGCAGACCGGATCAGGCCCACAGGGTGTTTAGATCTGGCCTGCGAGGCCAGTCTGGAAATAGTAAAGGACCAGCCCACTGTGCCTCTGCTAGCAAAAATGGGGTGTGGGGAGGGGGTCCCCCGCAACCAGTTTTGGCTGCTAGAGTGCTGCAAGAGGCTTTCCAGGCCCAAAATGGGGCCTCTGGAGTACTGCAGGAAGCCGCCTTTATCTCAGAAGGTTATAAAAGGGAGGAAAGGTAAAATGTTTTACCTTTCAGGCTTGCAGGATTCTGCTACTATAGCCTATGTCAATAATTTATAGTTCTAGTCTTCCTATGGAGTCAGTTTCTTGATCTGGTCTCTCATAAGGTGATCAAGTAGATCAAATAAGTATTAAAATAACAAAATCACAGAAATGAACGCCTCTCTATTTTTATAAGTATATAAAACCATGTGTGTGGAAGTATGGTCCTGTGTCACATCTACTATGGCCAACATCTACTATGGCCAATCCCACCAACCCCTCTGGCACTTGGAGGTCAAACACAACCCTGGTATAGCCCTCAATGAAATTGAGTTTGACATCCCTGCCCTATACCATTCCAGGCAAGTGGCTGTCCAGTCTCTTCTTAAAAACCACCAGTGATGGAGGCTTTTAAATAAATTATGAGCAGTAGTTTCTTATTAAGAAATCCAGATGCTATATTTTGGTATTCATTTGCCTTGTGAATTTCATTACTCCTTTTTCTTTTTTTAACTCTTAAGATGTTTTTCCTTTTCATCCTCCAGGCAGCTCCAGGTTACCACATGGCAAAAAAGATTATCAGATTGATCACAGCCATTGGAGAAATTATTAATAATGACCCCTACATAGGAGATAGACTCAAAGTCATATTCTTGGAGAACTACAGAGTGTCTCTTGCTGAAAAAGGTAAGTCAGTTTTGGAAGCAGGTTGGGTTTCGGTAGTGCACAATCTGTTCCTTTCCAGATTCTGCTGATCTCTCTTTTCGTGCTTACCTTGTTTATGGCTGTGCTGACTGAGATTGTTAAAAGTTGCATCTGAAGAGTTGCATACTGTGATCCATGGCTGACTGGCTCTTGTGCAAGAAAATATATCCCTTCCAAATGCAGAGGTATACGTGCAGCCCTGTATGACATACTGCTGCATCAATGAAGCAAACACTTAGGATGTTGAATTGCTTGGTCTACTCAGAACAGTAAAATTAGACCACCCAAGGCTTGCTCGTGTTAGGTGCAGATACAAAGGGTTTGTTTACAGAAGAAAAAAAATACAGTCTTACCTATTTCTCTTTTTCCAATCCATCCCAGTGATTCCTGCCGCAGATCTATCAGAACAGATATCTACAGCTGGAACCGAAGCTTCAGGGACAGGAAACATGAAATTCATGCTGAATGGAGCCCTCACCATTGGGACCATGGATGGGGCCAATGTAGAAATGGCTGAAGAAGCTGGAGAGGATAATCTGTTCATTTTTGGCATGCGGGTAGATGACGTTGAAGCAATGGATAAGAACGGGTTTGTAAATAAACTTTTCACCGTGAACAGGCCATAAAAACAGGCTATGGGCATGTGATTGATTCTTTGGACCAGCAGGAAACTTCTCCTGAGCTTCCTCTACTTCACCTTAGAGCAGGGGTATCAAACTCAATCCCATCGCAGGCTGTATCAGGATTTTGTTTGCCCTTGGGGACTGCGTTGGGTGTGGCCTGGTCATCGCAGCCGATTGGGTGCGTGGGTTAGGGCAACATAGGCTTAACATAGTATAGAGATAGCATTGCCATCTCTGGGTCTTACCCATGAGACAACTCTGGGCCTATCGTGGGCTGGATTTGGCCCGCAGGCTGCATGTTTGACATCCCTGCTTTATGGGAATTAGTCAGAGTTCAGTTTCTATTTTGACAAGGAGATCTCTTATCTCACATCTAGCAAGCAGAGCAGTCAGGATAGACCTGAGCACCTTAAGAGGCCATTTTTCTTCTCTGAATTCTCTCCTATGTTAATTAGAGTTACTTACGGTCAATATCTCTGATAATGAGGAAAGCTTATGAGAAAATTCAATTATTGAAAACTGCTGTTGGAAATTGAGTAACCTTGTCATAGGAAGATTGGGGTATACATTGTGACAAAACTCTTCTTATCCATTTATATTAACATAAGAAGAACTTGCTACAGCATGAACTGAGTTTACATGCTCATCAAAAATAGGAACATTTTTGAAATAACTTGCAATTTCCACAAATTACTTTTCATAAACTGTATAAGATCCAATACTGATCATACCTTTATTAAGAATTAATATGCACCAATAGCCTTTTAATTTGGCATCAAGTCTGCCTTCTGTATTATTTCCAAGTCACCTATAATGTAGGCTGCTTGTGTGAGTATTGCCCTACATTATATATGATGTAGTGGCTAAAGTGTTGAATTAATGTCCCCCTTGATGATGGAGCAGTCTATTTAACCACCTGGCACTCACTTTCAGCTAGTCTTAATTCACTGTGGAAACCTTTGTGTATGTCACCTTCTATTCCAAGAAAAAAGGTGGGATGTAAATGCAAGAAATAAATAATAATAGAAGCAGAAAAGGTTAAGGGTGTCCCTATATTTCTTGTTCAGGTACTCTGCTAAGGAATACTATGACAGGATTCCAGAGCTCAAGCAAGTTATTGATCAAATAAACAGTGGCTTCTTCTCACCAAATGATCCTAGTTGTTTCCAAGATGTTGTCAACATGTTGATGTACCATGACAGGTAAGAGGCAGCAATGGTGTGCTTTTACTATGAACTTTCTTTTAATGTCCTCAGTGTGGGTTTAAATATAACTTCCAACATCTCCAACCATGACATTGATCACCATACTTGCTGAAAGGTAGAAAAACTGCAGTTCTTCATCTGAGGCATACCATATTGGGGAAGACTACTATATATTGCAAACCCAGGTGGGGTATGACATACTCTCTATTGATAACATACAGACTCAGGCTTATTCCCTTTTGCTGTGAATTGGGCTCAGAAGCAAGCAGCAGCCAATGCAGAAACTTGAAGATAGGTGTAATTTTACTCTCAAAGAGTTAGCTTGTCAAGAGCCTTGCTGCACATTTTGAATCAGCTTTCAAGACACTCCCAAAGGCAATCCCAAATACAGCACATTACTATAGTCTAACCAAGTGATCAGTGCATAGGCCATTTATTTTTAAAAGGTACCTGAAATTTAGAAAAAGAAAATGCTGTGGAATTAGTCAGCTAATGAAATAAAAAGATTATCTTAGCCAATCCTGATTTAAGGCTTTCTCAGAGAGGGAACTGCCACAGAAAAGGTCCTTTGAAATTATGTTACATAGGAGAGAGCCTCACCTAAACTACTCAAAGGGAAAAGAAAAGCACATTCAAACTTGCCTTATTTAAAGCACAGCTACAGCATATTTATTTACCGATGATTCTTTATGACTCTGAGTTAACAAAATAAATGGAATTCATGGTTGCATTTATACTGTACTTTGTTTAGGTTTAAAGTATTTGCTGATTATGAGGCCTACATCAAATGTCAAGGGCAAGTGGACCAACTATACATGGTAAGATAGAGACTTTCCTCATAGTTTGAACTAATTGCAAATTGATAAGAAAAGTTTCTTCATGAAATAACTGGAAATTATAACTAGAGCTCCTTGTATCTAAGAGTGAGCCCAATGCTGAAAAAGGGCAGTCACAATGTACATAAGTTTCATACGTACAAAAGCATAACCACCTTATCTTATTCCAGCATTTAGGGCCTTCCAAAAAATTAAAAGAGGGCTGCCAGATCCTGGGTGGAAAGGTGCCCCACAGGATAGGGGCCTTACAGAAGGGGCATATTTCTTGTTCCCACTAGATAGCAACATTAATGGGAAGGGACTTGGAACCCGGTCTGTCTGGCTTGGTGAGAAACAAACCCCTTGGAAAGAAGTGATCCACAAATAATCTGGCTCTCTGCCATGTAACCAGCATCTTGAATTGCACCTGGAAAGAAACTGGGAGCCAATGAATCTCACATGACAATGTATAATGTAGACAGTCAAGAGATGCCCAGCATTGCCTCTTCTGCTACATTATGGACCATTTGTAATTTCCAAGCACCCTTCAAGGCATCCCCATGTAAGGCATTTTTCAGTGGTTTAGCTGTATCAAAGATAACACAGCAAACTTCAATTGAGTCCAATGCTTTGTTTACTTCCACCTAATGGAGATGATCTTGCCTAATTAAAGCTATCCAGTATAACCTATTAGATGTAGCCTGAGAAATTCTAGAGTGTGGTTACTTTGAACCTCTCCCTACCCCACCGCTATCCAGCTTTGGACTGTGCAGACTCTTAACTGAGCCTCTCTCTGGGAAAGCTCTGAGTTGCCAAAATTCCTATCCACTAATACTCCAGGTGCATATTCCATCACATCTGGAAAGTTCCCAAAACATGAGTGAGCAAGGCCTCCCTGGTGGCATGTACCACATTAGAGGAAGAGTGTACCAAGGTGCCTTTATCCTTGAATGGGATGCTGTTGGGCCCTGGGTTCTGAAAGATACCTAACTATATGAAATGTAAGAAATAAAAAACCATTTTGAAAGCGGTAAAATGTAGATCGAAAGGCAGTAGTGAAGATTATTTATCTGGAATGGGGAACTCCAATTCCCAATCAATTAAAACAGGTTGGAGGAGAGTAGGCACAATGATAAGAAGAGAACGACTTCCGGTTTGAAGGGCTTCGGCGACAGACAGAAATCCGCGATCGTGCGCAGTTTCTGTCAGCTCGCTGCTGGAGTGCCCCAAGCCGGCTGGTTTCGGGGCTAAGCCACCCCGTAGAGGTGGTGAAGAGGGGGGAGACCGCCAGCAGGGTCGAGGAGAGCTGCATCTCTCCTCCTCAGCTGGCCATTACTCCCTTTCCCGAAGGCGGTTGCAGCGGTGGTCAGAAATGGCCACCTCAAAGAAGAACTCGACCAGAAAAGAATGTGCAGGAGGAAGAGAAGAAGTGAAAGTTTTGGCTGACCGGGTTAAATTGTAAAAGCAACTAAGGTACCCTGGAATTTAAACTTACAAAAAATAACATTGCTCCCAAAGAAGAGTCGGAAGCAGCAAAGGAAAGTGAAAAGGGAAAGGTTTGGCTTTTTTTTTCTTCTCTCCTTCCCTATGCTGACAACTAAGAGACTTAAATAAGAAATCGGAAAAATCCGCTTTGACATCAATAGGCAATTAAGCTGAAAATAAAACAAAATGCCAAAGGGAAAAATAAAGATTTCTGGACATTAAAAATTTTCTTTTTCATAAGCAGGAAGGGAGAGAAAAAGAATAAGGACATGATCTGGAAGAGGGAGGAGACTGCCTGGAATTAAAAAGAATCTACAATAAAACTTCAACAAGACTTCTAAAAGATACATTTTAACTGAAACTTTGCAACTAAATAGTAACCCCAGGAAGAGAAAGTGAAAAAAAAAGAGCAAAAAAGAAACAGCTTGCGTGTATTTGGATTATTTGGTGATCTTTGGATTCTTGGTTATTATATTTGAATAACTAAAATCAATTGGGTGGTTGTTTAAAAATTTATACAGTGGCACTACTTCTGGATAAATTGAAAATGGAACTTAGAAATGGAGATTTCGAACTATGAGAAACAACAAAAAATGACTGCAAAACAAGAAGACTGGGACAAAGAAGAAGCCATCTTTAATGAACAAGCAATTTTATGTGGGGAAGAAAAAGGAAAGCGGGGAAAGAGAATGGAGAATTTAAGACTTTAAAAAACAAACAAAGAAAAGAAAAATAATTCGAAAAATAAGTATAATACTGGAAAGCAACAGAAAAGGGGAATACAGAAGAGAGAAATAGAGGTAGAGAGACAAGGGGGTAAAAAGGGGAGAGAGAAGAAGAGAGGGAAGAAGAAAAGGAAAAGAAGTTACAAAGGACTGGAGCAAGATATAGAGAAACAGGACCTATTTAGAGATAATGGGTGAAAACCTAACTGAAAAAGGTATTCTGTAAAGGTACATAAGATTGTATTGTTATATTAGTAATAGAAATAACTTTAGAAAATTGGAAACAATGTATGATTAAAATGAGGGATAAAATAGTTATTGTAATTTAGTGAAATGTTTGTGAATAAAATAAGTGAAATAAAATAAATGAGAAAATTGAATTAGGAAGGAATGGGAACATTTTAATTAGTTAATGTTTTATAAAATATAAGTGAAGAGGAGGGGTAATTAACTATGGAAAGCTTATAATTGTTCCCATAGAAGTATGATATTTAATTGAAAAGTAATGTTAAAGATGTTAAGACTTTAATGAATATTAATATTAATGATAGAATTGAATTGGAATGGAATGTTGTTTTAATTATATACATTTATAGTTGTTGTTTTTTAAGAATACAGTGTGTATTTTAAGAATGTACCAAGCAGAATCCGAATGGAAGTTATGTATTATATTGAATGTTACAACTTTAGGGAAAAGTTATAAAGGCGTCATACTCCAATCAGTAACTACAGGAGAAATTTTGTTTAATGAGAAAAGATAATAGATAATTGAAACAAGACAGACAAAAAGTATAAATACAATGATTTGAATTGAGATGAGATAATTAAAATAAAATTGAGAAAATTAAAAGAGGGGAGAAGCTATGCAGAAAATGTAAAATAGTAATAAGATATGGAATAGAATATAAAAATGAGCATGAACCTGAATTTGTGTCTGTACGAAGAAATGTAACCCGGGATTACGCTACTTTCAAAAAAGATGTTTTATTTGTATTTTTTTTCTCTTTGTGAAAACTCAAATAAAATTTACCAAAAAAAAAGGATAAGAAGAGAACAAACAGGAGAAACCACAGATAAAGTTTATTGCAGCTCCAAGACTGAAAGTTATTAATTCTGGCTCTGAATTCATCACTTCTGGAAGAACTAGTTGTCCAATAAATAACAAATGATCTTTCCGCTATTAAAGCTCTGAAGATATCAACCTAATAATCTCTTTCTTATTTCTTAGAATCCTAGGAAATGGACTAAAATGGTAATTAAGAACATTGCATGCTCCGGCAAGTTTTCCAGTGACAGGACAATTACTGAATATGCCAGAGAGATCTGGGGAGTGGAACCTTCTGCTGTGAAAATTCCTCCTCCAAACATACCTAGAGAGTAAATCTGCCATTAGAAGGTGCATGCAATTACCCTGATGGGCTTCCTGCTGCTGCTGCTAAGGTATACCTGCTTCCCTGTGACTTTTCTGCAGATGAATTCAATCATGTATTTTACCACACTTTGACTTGTTTCATCTTTATAAGCATATAGCGGAAATGAGAGCAGCTGGTGCTTCAGATAGTTAGAAATAGTTGACCAAAACATATTGTAATAAGATTCAAGATCTGAAACAGAAAATTTAACACCCCACCCACCCCCACCCCCCAAAAAAGATGTTATAATCTTGCCCTCTTTTAAAAATCCAGTATACCAATGTTGTTTATATGTATCCATGCATTATATGCTGAGGGGGCTCCTCAAGTCCCCAAACTTGTTAATTCCTATGGCAGTTCCCAATTGGTCAGTCAGAAGTGCCTATAAAGTCCAGAACTGAATGGAAAACATGATTCCACAGGGATAATAAGTGTTGCCTTCTGGAATGGAAGGTAGACTGGAACCCTTCTATAACCAAGGAGAATGCTTTTTCCACATAACTCATTTTGAAGTCACTTCTCTGTCTTAATTGCAGTGGTGTCTGCAACAAATTGAGGTTGCATCAAAATGATACATATATGGTAGCATCATGACATAAATGTTGCTCTTAGGTACTTGTATTCTGATGACTAACACAAATGTCCAGTTGTGGGTTTAAGCATTCTGACACACGTTTCATTCCTTGTCCCTCTACCCCTCCCCTCCACACCTGTGCTCATTAGGAGAATCATTGCTGATCCCCAGGACAGTTCTTTTTAATCCAAAATCATTTTAAGTGACCCGTTATCAGAAATGGAAAAATCAGGATGCTTTTTCCTATAGGGCCATGGAGTTCAAGGGTGGGGGGGTTAAAGGCACCAAAGAACTGTTTGCTTTCCTCTAAAATGAGGATTCTTGAATGCCTTTTTGTGATTCATAAAGTTAGCATCCAGTCTAGTGCCCTCAAGATGCATTGGGACTGCCCAGTCAGTCCAAATTAAATCAAATTATCGCCCATATTTTATGATCTGCTAGATTCTGGATAATTTTCAGAGCAAGTGGCAGTAAATTTAAAAAATGAGACATTTGCTTAGTCTCATGGTAGATTGCTAGGCCTTGTTTTAGGAACTAGACTTTCTTTATCTGTGCATGTTTCAAATTGTGCAGTTATATGACTTATTTAAAACAACCTTAGATAAAGAACAGACACTGAAATATCTGTCACTTCTCATAGTGAAACCACTACCATCCAGACTTTTTCTTGAGTTAGTGTTGTCTCTAGATGTCACATTTTTAGTATTTTAAAAGTATATTGGGAAATCCCATTTTAATTTCAGGCAATAGCATCACATTTTTGGGATTTATCAGGTGTTCTAGCCTGGGTTGCTAAATAAATAAATTTTTTCTTTTTTGCAAATGCTGAGGAAATTGACTATGTTTTAGAGCCCAATAAATCCTTAAATGGCAACTTTATTTGTAAATGACCAGAATGGAAATGAATGTATGTCCTATAAGCTTCCAGAACAAAAACATTAAACAAACATGCTGTTTTCCGTTTTTAGACTTCTTAGTAGAGGCATTATCAATCTAATACCAGGTCAAAGAAATAAGGATCTACAAAGTATTCCTTCTCTAAGCTGATGCCCTCCAAATACTTTGTAGTAGCAACTCCTTACTGGCAGGAAGTTATATAGGAGCAGGAGGCCAGAGACAGCTGCCTAATCTCTGCCTTTCCCTATATTAATTTTTAGGATTGCCCCATTCGGATGAGAATACAACTTTATCAAATGTAGGAAACAGTGACCACAGTTTTCTGAATAGACTGAATAGCAAATAGGCAAGCAATAATAGCACCCCTCACTTTACAGGGGAAAGACTTTGTCAAAAACAGGTGACAGTATTGTCAGAGCTGATACTGTGATTAACCGTTAAGTTAGGACACAGAGCTGATGCAGATAAGAGATCCTTTCTGCTATCCAGGACTAGTCAATACCCATATCAATCTATTTGAATGGCATGAAACAATAATTTCATAAATTTCAAAAGCCATAAAGTAACAAAATTTCAATGCTTGCATTATTCCAGAAAACAAATTGTAAAAACAAAACTGATATTCATTTTATATCAATCTGCTGTATTTTGCTCTAACCAAAGTGGATGAAATTGAAGTAAAATATGTGGTTTTCTATTTTATGTAGGCCATAATTCACTAAATAACTACTAAAAGTTCTGTTCTTCCAAGTTTATGCAACATTTAAGAATATTATAGAATATATCTAAATGTTTACAGGTTTTTTTTATTTGCTGTTTGTGGTATAGCTGTACCTATACAATTGTAATTTCCAGGCCCATACAAACTACAAAACTATGAATTTGCTTAAATCTTTGGTTCTTGCACATTTTTCTCATGCTGACAAACAAAAGTTCAAATCACTTGTCTTATAGAACAGATACAGATAGTAATATTTATATAGCCTTTTAGATTCTTCCTTTATCATTTAGGAGCTAATATATGACTTTTATAGCATTGAAAATACAGAATTAAGCAGGGACTACTTTAAGAGATGAGATTCCCTCACCAGTTTACTAAAATAAAACTACATCAGTATCGCATATTCATCGTAATATTCTTTAGCTAGCCTGGTCCTAATCCAACCAATGTTACTCTTTAATAAGCAAAGTGATGTATATGTCCTACTAAAGATGAAAGGAATGCAGTTAACTGTAATTGGATTGAGCAATTTCTTGGCCAGTCACAGAAATTAGGAATCAGTAAATTCAGGGGAAAGCTTTAAAATTCTGACAATTAAGTTAGCCTTTAACAAGTTGAAGGTTTGAATCAACAATTTCACTTCTCACTAAACACTTAAGTATGTTTATATAAGCTCAAAAAGTATCCTTTACTTGCTGGCTGATAGCTTCCATCAAAAATGGTGTCACCTTGTTTTAAAAAGTATAATTGTGCAGTTAGTAGGTTCACAACTAAGAAGTAGTTGAATATGAAAGCTGTGTTGAAAAAGCATTGAGAAATTCATTATATGTTGTCATCAGGCTGAACATGAAAGCTGTCCTTAAGTGCATTTAAGACAAGGGCTAATCTCTGCACAAAACATTGTACCTATTATAATTATTCAGTTGTTGCTCTTAGTAAATAACCATACTAGTTGCCTTCCATTGCATTGTCAATTTATTCCCATATTGAAGAAAATAGATTGACCATTCCTGGTTTAAAGCTCATAGATTCTGGATATTGGCTGGCTACAAATCCTTTTACTATGTTTTTGTCAAAGGCAGAATATATATAATGGAGGAATTCCAGGGAACACAATATTGTGTTAAAGGAATGCTGCTAAAGTGTTTCTTCGATATGAATTGTTTTTAAGCTGATGACTGCTTGGTGTTCCCATGATTCATTTTAATGCCATGAAATGCTTCAAATATGGAAAGTTGATTCACTCTTTCCAGCACATACAGAACATTTCCCCCTAAATAGTGAGGACTGTGTTGTTATTATTTAAACCTAAGTAAAGTATCACAGGTTTCTGCTGAGGAAGTCTTATCATGTCTTGAAATTTGTGCATAAAATATTGCATGTTCGCAAGCATTCCCATCTCACATATATTTTTCATTACAACAAGAATGTGTTGTCTTATTCCTGGTTATTTTTCTTCATGATCTGTAAAACTATCGTAACACTTACTTCAGAGAGGATATCTCTTCAAGCAACAACTCTCCAGGAAGGAGGCTGAAGCAAGCAAATTAGCAAATTTACTGTGCTTGCTAAATAAATGTATTTGTCACAATCATGTCATTTGCAAAACTAATTTTTGAGTTTGTTTTGATGTCTGTGGTGTGCTTATGATATAGTACTGTTATTCTCCCGTGTTTTCGAAACATTAAACTTCCATGAACACTGCACTTGATTTACCTTTTATTTTAGAATAGAACTACAAAATTGCTTATATTAAAGTCAGTGTAATAAGTATGATGTGAGGTCCTACAAGAGTGAGGTCCAAAGCAAAGTAAAAATTCCATTATAAGGCTTGGCTTGACTAAATAACTCATGGTCTCAGTCAGTTTGGAATAGTGGGAGCTCTCTTATTTACTGAAAGTACTAGAGCTGCACTGTCCATGGATGATCTTTTAACACTTGGTCCCTTAAATAGTTTTTCCTAAACTTCTCTCTCCACAGTAAATAGCAGGCATAGGAAAAGTGGTCTGCAAATGAAGGCAAATATGCATGTCTCAGGATAATGTTTCAGAATCCAATCTGGGTCGGTCACTGGGACCAGAAGTTTAGTCTTCCTAGCTTTTGAACTTGTGCTGGAGCCCATCCTCTCTACTACACATTCTGGTGAAGTTCCCTGAGAATGGGCTCCAGCGTGAATCCAAAAGCTTGGAAGACTAAACCTTCCAAGGGGTTGGATGCGGGGTTGAAACCATCTTTGATGCCACAATCCCAACTGAAGTTGGGCTCCCAACTGCCAGTCTCTAAAATATCTAATATAGTATTTATGTCCTGTTTGAGATGTAACTGAAAAGTCCCAACATTTTCACCATGGACTTGTTAAATGACCATTCTTAGGTTCAATATTAACAACAGTGGAATGGGGAAGATATTCAAAGGTACCCCTACAAAGGATTGCAAGTTGGTTTACTTAATTGAACACACAATAACTCTGGAATTTTATATTATATGGTTAGGTATAGGTATCTTATGAGTCACAAAAATGCAGAATATTTTAAAGTTAGTATAACTATTCCGCTCACTCTATTTTGTTATCAAAATTATTCTGTGAAGTAGAGTATCCTGTGAGAATATGATTGAGCAAAGTTTGTCTTGTTAGTTTTACAAACAGAATGAGAATCCTGGACAACTAAGAATGAAACCTCTGATTTCTATTTATACAAACTGGATGCACGCCACATATTTTAAGCCACTCATCATGAGAAAAATTGGTTTTGAGGAACAATAAAATTAGTTTGGGTTTTAAAGGTAGCGTGATGAAAATGTGAACTTACTCCTTAAAGTTATATGAAATATGGCTAGCTTTATACACATATTTTGATTAGTTTACTTGAAGCAAAGTTGCATTTTATATCAACTGGCCACTCCTAAACCTCCTGGAAGACACTTGTTATTTTAGGATGATACTCCCCTGGGTTTAGTTGACAAGACTCCAATTTCTTATTTTGAATTCAGGGAGAGCCTGTGTTTCAATCCCCAGAGCTGTCTTGTGACTGGATTAGTGATTGATGTTCCTTAACTCAGTTTATTTTAAATTATCAGTATTTCCCATTTCTTTGAATTATATGGCCAGCCAAAAACAGTAAAAACAATAAAGTATAAATAAAATAGCAGCTGAGCAACAATAAATTCAATTATTTTAGCCAAGAAACGATTCAGGTGGACTCCATTCTTTTTTCAGATTTTCAAATGAAAGTAGGGGATGGATAAGATTTCTTCCAGGTCCGACATTTTGTGCTTCTGTTCACCATCACAAGGAAGTTCATGAGAGATTTGAGCAAACTCCCTTTCTTTGTCTCCTGTGGCCTCAGAAGCCTGAAGCAGTGGTTCTGGGTAGTGGTGCCTTTTCATAACTGGTGGAGCCAGACAGATAATTGCAAAGTAGTTTTGTTTTTCTTAAGACCTTAGTGGTCTTAAGAAAATTCATGGAATGGTGTAAAAATTACAAAGACAATAGTTCTTAAAAACTGAAATAATATATACACAACAATGTGCAGTCAGAGCTGCCTGTACTTCAGCTGGTGTAGGTTTTCATATACTGTACATCAAGTTGTTTCCAAGAACATAGGATGTACACATCTATTGGTATAGTATACAAATACATAGTATATTTCCTCTGACAAAAAATAATGAAATATACATTCCTACATTAGCCCAGAGCACTTCACAACATACAGAATTCTGTGAGTAGCAGAAGATATGTACATATCTCTAGTTGTTTGGACCCCAATCAATATGTCACTATTTTAAATTATTTCTGACAATTTATTGGATATGAGCATAAACGCCAGCAGTCCATGATCTATACTGAACAAAACAAAGCTACCTCCAAAAGAAGTCAAAATCATTTTTTATTAAAACTACACACTGTTTTAGATAAACATTTCCATTTCAGTGGATTTTACTGGCCTAAACAATTGAAACATATGTGTCAGAACAAATAGCACTGTGCATGCTTTGGAATATAGTTTTTGTTGCGCTGGCAGAGTTGACATTGCCACATTAGTCTGTACTTTTATCAATACTAAAGTAGTGACAGCAGGAGCAGTGCTACACAGAACATTATCCTGTTTTTTTCAAAAGAGCTGAAACAACATTTTTGCCTTTCTTAAATGCAATAATCCTAAACATGAGAAGGGGAGAAAAGATGACATTTTATGTGGCACAATTTGCAAGTTATTGTGAATCAAAACTAATAGATTACTTAATTGCAGGAAGTCTTAATGCAAAGAACAAGCTAATGTTTGCAGAATGAATCTGTAAGTTGTTTGATACATGCCAAAGAAAATATACAGACATTATTATTAATACCTGCCTATATCTTTCAGACTAAAAAACTATTCTGAACTAGAATAAAAAATATTGTGCCTAATATTGAATGCTTAAGCCCATCAGCCACACTGGCTCATAATTCAGTTGCTCTGATTGCTCACCATGCCATGCCTGCATTGAATTTGGTTAGCAAAACAAAGTATGTGCAAATAGCAAAATATCAACCTTCTCTAGTCTCCTCCCTAATATGCAGCCTCTTCCAGTCTTAGTTAATTTAATGAATGGAAGATTCCCAAGTTGAAGACGACTGGCCTAAATGAACATCCATGCTATCCTTTTTGTCATAAGACACGTAGATTTTTCAAATCTCAAAAATGGATTTTGGTAATCACATGGCAGTGTTTGGATGATCATGTCCCAGGTTAATAAACAAAGTTACACTGGAATGTTGTGCACTCATGAACAATCACTTTGTTCCTCCTTCATGAGATCAAATCAACAAGTCTCAGTAAATCATAGCCTCTTACAACATAATGGTGTCTAACAAGCTAGAATATAGAATTCATCTTTAAACAATGGTTTCATAATTCATCTCATTTGAAACATACTAGCTATAGTTTCTCAACCCAAACTATAGTTCACGGACATTTCTGGCTTGTTTCATCAAATATAAAAAGCAAAACACTTATGTACATGTGGGAGGATTATACATATCTCCATTTATTAAAGCCATGAAATACTTCAGATTTTATTTGGAAGAAGTGGTATGGAATGCGTAGCAATGTAGCCCATCTTCAACTCAGTCAAGAAGCCATGTCTGCTTCCAGATCATATGGTGACAACATAAACCTCCCTTGCAAAACTCATAGAGGCTTGAATAGGTTATCTCTTTCCAACCAATATAGAAGCAATGCACAGTGTTGCTGTTGATTAAGCCATAACTGGGATAAGGGACTAGATTTTCATAAAATATAAGGTTTGGTCAGTCTCAAAAGCAGTACATGAAAACCAGATTCTGTATCTGTTAAAATTAGTTATTACATTGTCTGCTCAATTCAGTATAGGAAGTATAATTTTATTATAATAAAAGAAAAAAAAATCCTTATTCATATGTTGTGTTAACTGAAGGGAACATTTAAAGCCAGTAAGGTAGATTTCATACATCACAGGTTTTAATAATATACATAGCAAACTAAAACTAACCTTCATTTTTATAGTAGAAAGTAATTACTTTAATGATCAGGGATGAAGTACTGTTAACATAAGAATGTGTCACTTTCAATACCTTTGGTTGACCTGGCTGATATTTCAGCATTCCATGTGAAACTATGAAAAATTTAACTGCTGAGAATTCAGAATGAGTTTTATTCCCAAAGAAAATGCACATCAAAAAAAATCTAAAGGTTAATTTCTTTCCCCTGTATTTTAAAAAAAAATTTTGACCACCTCTAGTGTACCTGAGCATTTTGAAGGAAATGATTAGGCTGGGATGTCTGAAGAATCACAATTATTTAAAATGGTAAATTTATTTTTCACTCCCAAAGTGCTTATATTTCTCTCTATAATTAGAAGAGCCTGGAAGACATATTTACCACAGTGAAAACACACATTTTCCCACAAGTCTAAACTTAAAGATGTATGTTAACAGAAAAGTTAATTCGAACAACTTCCAATGATAATTTTTAATTAATATGATGTACTTCACTTAAGGGATATGTACATCAAAAGAAAATGGCTTGAAAAGTAGAGGCAAAATTTCAAAGGAGATGCATGTCTGTAGATGGATTGTAATTATATTTTGTGTGTATTTCTTGTCTGGGAGAATTGAAAGCAAAGCAATAAGGGGAAAATTGACCACTATTAAATTATAATAGTTAAACAGACACCTTTTTAAAAAAGTGAGTCATCCTTCAATTCATTCTAAAATGTTGTCCTGTATCTCTGGTTTCTAAAATTAATTTAAAATCCACATTATCTTCTGCAATCTACATAAGAAAAATATCCCTTACCAAACTAAATTCTAGAAGGAAACCTGCAGCTCAAAAAAAATAAATAGGTAGCACGGAAAAGTTGTAAGAATTATATTTTTGCAGATAACTATAGTCCAGCTATGTTTTAGAGTGCAAGTTCTTTAGTCTTGTAACAATCCGGCACAATATTGTAACAATCCAGCACAATATTGTGAGAATGTTTATAATTTATGGGAAAAAGCAGGGGTGGCAGCCAGGGTGGGGTGCGGATTACAAAGTCTTTATTGTGCTTGAAGTTAATTGTTCCAAAATTTTGCTCCCTCATTCTTTTGGGGGGGTGGGGGGAAGACACAGAAGCCAATTACATTCATTCTTCATATCTACTGTCCCAAAACTTGAGATTTCAAGGTATCTTTTAGAACTGAAGC